CATAACCAGTGTTCGAAATACCTGTCTGCAGTCTGCAATCTGCAGATAGATTTTCAAGATTGCAGAAGAAAAATTTATACAATCTGCAATTTTGCAGCAGGAAAAATTGGCACTTGGGATTTGGTGCTCTTGGCCCCAAGGACTTCCAAAAATTTGTCTTCACTAATTTGCATATCAGTCAATAGTTCATGCTTATAAACTTGCAAGATTGTAGTATAGAGGCTTGTGTATTTGCAGAAAGTATTTCCAAATTGCAGAACAAAATTTTGACTCTTCTGCAATATTGCAGAGCACTGAAAAAAAGTATTTCGACCACTGTATAACTGCAAAGTTTATTCATGTTTCTGTCATAATGGTAGGAGTTCAGAAGAACATGTTAATTTGTTGAATTGTTCAGCCTCAGGTACAGTTTCTGGTTCGGACCCCTGCCTAAACCTGTGTACCTTTATCTGTAATAGTTACCTGTGCCTAAAATTTGTTTAGGTACACAGCTCTATACTTGACATGATGAGACATGTCAGTGTACAAAATACTTTTTTGAACCTGGATGCCCAGTGGGCAACCTACGGCAAAAATTAGGTTGCCCATCAGAATTTTAGGTTGCCCCACCTATAACTTATAAGTTACTACTTTCCTCAAATAAAGTAATGTTACATACATAAGCCTTTGACAATATTACAAACACTCCTTAGTTAACCGATACTAGTAATAGCCAGTAATACCTAAAATTAAAAAGCATCTGCCGGATACAGTGGTGCAAGCCAAGCGGGCATGACTTTTTTTTTGGGGGGGGGGGCATTCTTAAAATTTAGGTTACACAATGGGCTAACTAGGTTCAAAAATAGGTTGCCCCAAGTAAAATTTGGTTGCCCGGGGCAACTGGGCAACCAGGTATTTTGCACGCTTCATGTACACATGCCTGAAACAAAAATGTGATGAATGAAAAAATTTAGGTTGGTAACAGCAAGTTGTAAGGTACATACCAATCCTTCTGCGACCATCTCTAAAGTAGATGCCCTGTTCAGCTGCATGCAGGTCCCCTGGTGAGGGCGGGTGGTTTTCACTCTATACATTTGTACAGAAATCAAAAACAAGAATCAACAGACTTGTAGCACAAAGCCAAAAGATACTGTAAAAATGTCACTGGTGACATATGATAGCAGCTTGGAAAGCATGATATCTCACAATGCATGTATTAATATTGATTCATAAAAAAAAAAGACATGACATTCATAGCTTTTAAGGCATCATACTAGTACATGTATCAAAGATCAATGAAGATGTATTTCAATTTGTGCAATGATCACAAATCAGCAAAAATATAGTTATTTATATATAATATTGATACCAATATTTAATGTGACAGACCTTCATAACAGTTGCCCTTTGATTTTTTTTTAAATACATGTACAATGTATTTGAAAATCGAAGCTGGCATGGTGTGTTATGCCGAAGGGCGGTCATACCGGCTTTACTGATACAGATACATAAAATAACTGTCCAGTAGGGCAGCAGTGACTCTGCTACCTAATCAAAGCCTATGCAGTAAGAAAAACAGCCAATATCCCGTCTATCGACCCGGCTAACCTATTCATATCAATAACACCAGCAACACTGGAGCCGGGACCTTTCCTTCTCAGTCAGCCTGATGCAAGCACTCCACAAAATTGATTGAATGCCAGAAGCCAATTCAATAAAGGCAGTAAGACACAGTCCAAACTGGAAGAGATGATGACGCATGACGTCAATGCAGAATGATAGATATCGCGTCAGCCACTGTTGTGTCACAGATACCGGGTGGGGGTGAGGGAGTCTGATGGTATAAAAATTTGGGTACCAGTTGGCTGGACGCCATTAACTGATGAAGCATTATACCGAACTCAATTTCTTACATAGCATTTCCATAGCAGCGATAAGCAAGGTACTACCATGTCATAATGGTCCAGATGAAATAGATGGGCTATGCTTAACTCTGATGCAGAATTAAGCCCTTAATCTAAAATACAAAATCAAACTTGGCAGAGCAACATTTCGTCAGTTGGCAGGACGTCCTGCACTGATTGGATTTTCTTGGCTGCATGTCCCGAAGGCACAATCGGTAACGCGACCCCACTGGTTGGCCATATGGGTCAAATTCTGTGGATCTGTTGGCGCGAGTTCCGCGCGGCTCGGACATGTTGTGAGGGATTGCAGTCAATTCAGATGGTGAGGTTGAGCCAGCAGCCCTATGTATGTACATGTAGTGTATAAGGCCGAGCTTTAGGCGAGTACAAACCTCTGCACGTAAAAGAACCCAACACACGATAATCAAGAAGAATAGGGGTGACCTGGTGTAATCTCCAAGCAGATCATACGGTGGCAAGGCAGTATCCATTGGCCAGAGGAGTGTCCATTACTGCATTAGCCACCTTCAGTAGCCGTACAAACTCCTCTGACTAATACTGTCTTGCCACCGAAAGGGATCTGCTTGGAGATTAACCTGGTGTGCTTAGCTATCAGCATGAGCTGCTGCGAAGATGTATTATGCTAGTAATACTAATAGCAAGGAGGTTATATACAAGTATTTATTTATTTAACCTCCTTGGTAATAGTAGCAGTACTTGAAAAAGCATCACATGCATCACGTCAGTGGAGGATGAAAGTTGCTTTTTGGGGGACCTCTCAACTCTTGAGAAGCATTTTCAAGCAAATAATATATGATCACACAATTAGGCCTAAAAAAAATGTTGTGTTTCCTGACCAACCCTAGAAAGAACTGCCAACCCTGGCCTTTTTGGACCTACCCTTAGGAAAAAACTGCCAACCCTAGCCTTTTCTGACCAACCCCAGAAATAACTGCCAACCCAATTTTTCCCTAGGCCTCAGGGGGCATTTCTAAGCTATAATTTACCACACTTTCAGTCCAATCCAATTTCTTGGGTTATTGAGTAAACAATACACAGGTGTTTATATTGTACACCTGCTCTACCAGTATTTGTCTTGTACAACCACTTTCCTTTTCATGACCTGGGGGCGGACAAAGCAAATATTTAAGAAAGGACGCCAGTGCTGTTACTAGTATATGATACTTCGGTTTTACAAATGACCTATTTCATTGAAAATACAAGCTTTTGTGTACTGGAAACAATAAACCAGGTATCGTATGGCTGCGATGTCTATATGCAAGCGTTCCACTTATCTTATGTAACACAAATGCCACACCCACTCGCGGTAATTTTGGTGCCTTTTTTTACCGACCTATAATTTCAGCAAGGATTTTACTAAGTAAATACCATTTTCTGGTATCATTTGGTAAAAATAAAATAAAAGCCAGTCGTTCTGGTGTTTAGGTTTGTTGAGTGGCGTGGATGGTAACCTGTTAGTCAGAAGTGTCTAACACAGTCTTGATTATTCAGAATCGAAAATTAATGAGCAGGCGCATGTATATTAAATGATGCGACTAAAATTGGAGACCTTACCAGAGAGTCCTTGTGCACGAAGGCGACTGAATCGTCTGTACTTCCGTACGAGTCTAGGGCGATCCCTGCCAAGCCATTTTTCTCCGTCTTGGCCTTTGACAAGATGGAATTCATCGCATTCATGTTAGTACCGTCCGGGATGTCTTATTTACGTCCAGCTGAAAATGTTCCAAGTTTTCCCCGGAAGAAATCTTCAAGAAATCCAAACCTAAGGTCCACGCTCGACGTCTCACGACCCCCCGAGCATCTTCTGACAGAGTTCGACGTGTTAGAAACGCAGGGGGAGATTTTCTGAGGGAAGGAAAGTCTTATAACGGAGGTTCAGACGACAATGGCGGCGATTCTGACAGGAGGGCGGCCATGTTGGACATGGCAGCGCGAGCACAGCGTCTTTATGGCTTCGTTTAAAAAGCTCTAGACCGTGACACGAACGCCCTACCCACACACAACCTGGATCAGAATAAAAACAGAACAGATTACGATCTAAAACCTAGATCAGCAGTACACTCAGTTTTATCAGAGCGATTTTCTAATCCTAGAGGTAAAACAGGTCTCCCCGCACCCGATACGCTTGATTGATCTGCACAGGCGCAGTAGACTCTCATGCTAATTTTTCAGGTGGATGATTTTGCACAAAAGGTACGTCTCCACCAGACTTCTTTTGCGGGGTGAATAAATCGTAGAAATCGGCCTAAAAAGGATATTAATTGGCCAGAGAAGATAGCCGGCCAGAGAAGCTCCATGGAGCTATCTTCTCTGGCCAATTAATACCCTTTTTAGGCCGATTTCTACCATTTATTCACCCCGCAAAAGAAGTCTGGTGGAGACTACGAATGGCTTATTCTGGGGTCCATTTGAAGTAGTCTCCACCAGACTCCTTTGCAACCTGAATAAATAGTAGAAATCGGCCTAAAAAGGAATGTAACTGGCCAGGAGAGTTAGCTGACCATAGACTTGATAGAGGCAAATTGCAGATTAGACTGTAACTTATTATAGGCTCATGATCCAGAGACTTGGTTAGATTATTTATCACATTTAAAAGTTCTGAAATTCGTTTCAGGTCCTAGCAAGAGAGTTTTAATGTCCTTTTTCTAGTTAAAAATGGGATTACATTATATTATTTTACTAGAAAGAGAAAGACGATGTTCTTCCTAATAAACTGGTAAAATAATGTGATTCCTTTGTGTCAATAGTTAACGTTAACAGGTGTGAAAGTAGTTAACACCGTAATGGTTTTTGACTGCAATCCTTTTTGAAATTTAAAAAAAAAAATGTGATAAATACAGCTAAAGCTACCTCAAGATATGTTTGCTGATATGAGAAGTAAGAAATCCCGACCTATATACCTTCGAAAAATGATGTTAATATTTATGACTGGCACATTATAGATTACTAGTATTTTGAGTGAGAAAACTGTAACATGATTGTCAAGATGGAACATTCATGAAAGTACTGAGAATAGTCATCTAGTGACAATGTATAATTTTTTTTAATAAAAAATGTTACATTGTACTACAATGTTTGTGTAAACTTTGTTCCTTATACATCTAAATGCTAGTATGCAGCCTGTTATGAGTTTTTGTTTTGCTTTGTAGCTTTGAGCTATCATTGGCACCGAGGGAAGCTCGACCCAGTGAGTGAGTGAGTGAGTGAGTGTAGCCTTTGAGGAAATGGCATTTGTTATTCTTTGATACGCAGCTAGCTTAGTAGGATAGTCTGCAACATAGAATGCCACTGACAGCACTAGCCATCCTCTCTGTCACGGACCTGCATATTTGACATTCATGATCAGTTTTTGCTGCACATCTGTTTCTTCATGTTAGGTGGCGCATGTGAACTGTTTGTTGTACTTGCATAGCGTTATCTTGCATAGTCCCATCCCTCTAGCACTTTAGTTTGATATGTTCTTTATTCATTGCACAATTTCCAACATTGCACATTTCCTTGTTGAGGTCCTTACATCATGTTGCTCTTTTAATTGTGTTTTTCCTCCCTGCTAGTAACGCCTGTGTGAGCATATGTAAAGCCCTACAGTGGGTCACAACCCGCCGTACGTGCTTCTGCGTGCTGTCTACGTTCAAAAACGTGGGCAAACGTAGGGCATCCGTGCGTGGTGAGTACCGCCTCCGTACGGAATCCTACGGATTTGGGAGCACGCAGACACGCCGTAGAACTTTAAGTGCATGTAAAACTTTTTTTCTGCGTGCGGTCTGCGGATTCACTACCAGTGCGTGCGAGTACGGGCGACGCGCGTGCCCCGTACGTACCGTACGTAAGACGCACGTGTGAGTACGACCTCCTTACGCGGTAAAGTTGCAATCGCACAGAGATTGCACGTTGTAAGCACGTACAACTCACTTACCACTTGCGCAACGTACGATGCACGCAACCGCTCACGGCCAGACGTAGCGTGTACACCACACTCTTACACCTTGTGAAACCGTGCGAGTGACGTGTGTCGACGCCACTCGTTCCCCAGAAAAAAACGTAGCAGACGTAGCCTCCCAAACAACGTACGGACAAAAGCACGTACGGCGGGTTGTGACCGAGGCTTAAGTCTTCCCTTAAACGGTGGAAGCTATACGGAGATGTGATTGGAGTCTGCAACTGCTCCTACGCCAGCCCAATAATCTGTTTCTGTTCTTTGAATTATATTTGTGGGCGTTAAAAATTTCCAAGTAGATGTTTCGGTAGCCGCAAAAGGTAGTATGAAATTTGATACTGTCTTCTTGTCCCATATTATTAATTCCATCAACCAACGTCTGAAAGACATCCATTTTCAAACGTTCCTAAAAGAAATACACAATGATAACAAAGGAGGAGCTTCTAGAAACAAATTGAAATCCTACAGACTGTTCAAGACTACGTATAATGGAGAAAAGTATCTAAATCTCGACAACATCATATGACGGCATAGGACCGCGTCTACAAAACTCAGGATAAGCTGCCACAAACTACACATTGAAACCGGGCGCCATAACCGCACTCCCCTGGAACAACGAATATGTAGGTATTGTAATCTAAATAGGATAGAGGATGAGGAACACTAGTACTTTGTATTAGAATGCAGTTTATACAACGAAGAGAGAGCTGAGCTTGATAAACTATTGCAATGTATACTTAAGCTTCCCCATTTCATACATCTTAGCAACACAGATAAGTTCATATTTCTAATGGCTTTAGACAAACCTTCGACTATTAAACACATCTGTACTTATATCTACATTGTTACTAAGAAGCGAGAAGAAGCCAAATTATCGTCATTATTAGACTATATGTCCATAGTACATAGAATTAGCGCTAGCTTGTACATTGTATATATTCATTGCAAACTGTGACGTCTTTCCTGTGACCTGCACTGAACCCAGTGAGTATTTGCGTACAATAAAGGTCTTCATTCATTCATTCATTTTTGGATCATGGAGAAGGTAATTATAAGCGCAAGGCACTGCACACAGTGCACTGTCACTAGTGACAGACGATTGCAACATCTCAGATTGCACAATAATTATAGCTGTGCATCCTAGTAATAATGGTGTTGATTGAAGAATTGAGTAATTACTGTCTTTTAATATTATTTACGGATTCTTGCAAGGGTGATACGCGCTAAAGGTAATAGATCCTATTATCTTCAATGATCCAGGGTATGGAAAATACCCTCAAAGACCATTGAAGCTACTCTCCAACCAGAGGTTCGAGTTTTGGGTTATTTTTGGCGTGTTTTTTTGACATTTTTATCGGGGTTTCTTTTTTGCAATGGAATTTTTCTTTCACCAAACCCAAGCAGAGGTTCGGATTTTAGGTTATTTTTGGCGTGTTTTTAGACTTTTTTTTATCGGGGTTTCTTTTTTGCACTGGAATTTTTCTTTCACCAAACCCAAGCAGAGTTCGGGTTTGGGGTTATTTTTAGTGTGTTTCTAGACTTTTTCATCGGGGTTTCTTTTTTTGCATTGGATTTTTTTTTCACCAAACCCAAGCAGAGGTTCGGGTTTTGGGTTATTTTTGGTCGTGTTTTTAGACTTTTTTATCGGGGTTTCTTTTTGCACTGGAATTTTTCTTCTAGTTTAAAAAAGAAACCCCGATAAAAAAAGTCTAAAAACATGCCAAAAATAACCCCAACCCCGAACCTCTGCTTGGAGAGTACATTGAAGCGCGTATCACTCTGTGGAAAGAATGCGCAATGACTAGTAATCAATCAATTCATGAAGCAATTATTCCATGAACATAATTATTCTTAGAATACACAATCATAGTAATCATAATAATAACCTTCATCAACATGATCATAATAAGTGTGCCAACGGAGCTGTTGCAATATTGCGTGCCACTCATTGCCCTTAAGCTCGCGTGCACTGCCATGCGTTTATATAATAATCATTCTTCAAAAATCTTTCCATGTTTTCTTTCATCGCGATTGGACAGCTCATGAACATAATTATTCTTAGAATACACAATCATAGTAATCATAATAATAACCTTCATCAGCCTAATCATAATAATTGTGCCAATGGAGCAATATTGTGTGCCACTCATTGGCCCTTAAGCTCGCGTGCACTGTCATGCGCTTATATAATAATCATTACGTTTTTTCTTCTTAAAAATCTTTCCATGTTTTCTTACATCGCGATTGGACAGCTCATGGACATAATTATTCTTAGAATACACAATCATAGTAATCATAATAATAACCTTCATCAACCTAATCATAATAATTGTGCTGTTGCAATATTGTGTGCCACTCATTGCCCTTAAGCTTGCGTGCACTGCCATGCGCTTATAATCATTACGTTTTTTTTTTCAAAAACCTTTCCATGTTTTCATACATCGCGATTGGACACGTACAGCTCATGAACATAATTGCTACACAGGAAAATAAATTACGGGGTTTTATAAAGAGTTTATTTGCCGGCAGCTGAACCACGCAGTCTGTTCAGACGTCCAAGTTCTCGGATCCGACGGTCTTCAGGCAACAACTGGCTTCAATCTCCAAACAGATCCAGAGAGGATAATCCAGAGAGCAAAGGTAAGGCTGATATATAACAAACGGTTGGCTACTTGAACCGCTTCTATTAGTACTACTAGTACTTAGACCTGGAAATCTAATCTCCAAGCAGATCATCGGTGGCAAAAAGACAGTTATACTGTATCTAATTGGGCAGGCAGTATCCATTAGCCAGAGAAAGTCCGCGGCCACCGACGGGCAAAAAAACGAACAAAAAAAACGGCCATATATAAAAAGGTAACGATCATTCCCCCACAACCTCTGCTTGGAGAGCACTGAAAATCTGGCTCTCATCTTTTTGTACAACCAGAACACATCAGATGAAAATCTTGGCTATCAAAAACTGCCACTGCTGGTGTATGTACTGCTTCATATGGGATAAGATGAGCCCAGCATTTTTTGTAAGAAAATTTCCTCTAGCTATAGCTTGCTAGGGTCGCCAAATTCTTCCCCATGATAAGTTGCAAACAGCTACATAATATTTCAATTAACGTGTTAGAGGAAATATCTTATAGTACGACTACTCAGGAAAATTCAAGTTGTATTTGTTGGTCATCTTTGTAACGTTATACCCTCCACTCCGACAAAGTGTGAAGGAAAGGTTGACAAATACAAAAGACAACCTATCTCTTATTCCCTTTAGGCTGAGTGTCAGTCTTTTTAGCTTTCGTCCGCTCCCCACGATTCGCTTTATATGGCCGGTTGCGAATCGTGGGGAGCGGGCGAAAGCTAAAAAGGCTGACATTAGGGCTATATTCCCTTTTCTTATATTATTAATAACGCGTTTAACGGTATGATTTATTTATTTGGTCGGTCTAAAGGACCTTAAGGAAAGGCTATAAAAAGCTAGCATCTTTATTTATATAGTTGTAACAGTTGGGGGTTTATAGGCGCTACCAACTGACAGGGCCGATGGGTCTAGACCTTTTAGCCGAGTAGTTAGAGCGTCGGCGTGTGGTTTGGTCGTGGGTTCGAACCCCGGCCCGGGACCAGGTTTTTTTTATCTGTTTCTACTCGCTCCTCCTGCTTCTTACAGTGGTTCCCACACCGGCCCTGGGAGTTCTGGCAAAGACTGCCGCTCCAGGGATGTCGAATTTGTAAGATTCGAGGACAAATCTTGAAAAGAAATGGGGGAGTAGTGTAACAGTAAAGACGCTACCAACTGACCCGGCCGATGGGTTTAGACCTTTTAGCCGAGTGGTTTGAGCGTCGGATTTGAAGCTGGTGCTTTTATCTGTTTCTACTCTCTCCTCCTGTGTCTTACATAGTGTGGAAGATGACACGTATTTTCATCGTGGTTCTCCTCGTGGCTGCTGTCATCGCGACTGCCGTGAGTTTCCCGCAGGAGGAGAAGAGGGGACTCCGCGTGGGCCATTCGCGGGTTCGCGGGCGGCTGAGCCCGTGGATTCGATACAACTTATATCGAAAGTAAGTTATCATAGATTTTCAAATGGTCATTCGTGTTAAAATGCATTTCTCAAGAACTACATAGAAACTAGGCCTCTGACAAAAGGTCTGTTATAGAGAAGTCAAACCCCTTAGACATAGTTTTAGACATAGCTATAGCTTTAGACAACTACCTTTTATCATGTAGATTTTAGTTCTAGTTTTACTCTGTTTCATTGTTCTTTTATGTTTATAATTTGCAATTAGCCTCCGTGCACGAATTTGCAATAAACTTCTTGCTGATAACTTTTTTATTAACGAGTTCTTTATTGCAAGCTCATGCCCGAGGGCTACTTGCAAACAGACATTTGACAAAAACAATGAGTACAGAAACTATATGCTAACATGGAGTTCTACGTATACGGTCTGCTTATCTAACTTACTATATCTACTTTAAAACTAATATAACGTTGGTAAAGAGTGGATATGCTTTATTACATGTAGGGCATCTTTCACTATCAACATATACTTAAAACAATTTATCACCAGTCACTAGAAGAAACTGGTTGTGCTTCATCCGTGAATAGTTTCATCAGGTTGGTAAAACACTGAGTAAAGAGACTCTTTTTACACAACCATGTGTTTTATTCAGCCGACGTTTCGGTGACCGTCTGTCACCTTCCTCAGGGCAATTCTGACTGGTTCACATTGCATTGCAGCACAGGTGTCGCTGCTATAGATGCATTCCCAAATGTACAATATTTACATATCTACACATATGTTTGTCCATAAATAATTTCATCAGGTTGGTAAACGAATGAATAGCAAAGTTCTTTCATCACAACCATTTATTTTTCATGAGGCGACGTTTCGATGACCGTCTGTCATCTTCATCAGGGCAATTCTGACTGGTTTACTGTGCACTGACACTAGATGCATTGTTAACAGTAAAACTAGCTTAAGAGCACTGTGAACTATGTAACACCTTTATTGCACTATGTACCAAGTAACATCTGGTGTCAGTGCACAGTAAACCAGTCAGAATTGCCCTGATGAAGATGACAGACGGTCATAGAAACGTCGGCTTGAAAAATAAATGGTTGTGATGAAAGAACTTTGCTATTCACATATGGTTATGTTTGAACAGGATGGCTGGCGCCCGCGCCCGTAAGGTTAGCAAGAGAATGCCGGGAGAAGTCGAGGCCATCCCGAATGAGGTGAAATCTTTCGGGAGCTACAAGGGAAAGCCGAATGCCACCGACATCGCCGAAGATTTCGGAATGAACAAGTTCCTGCGAAAACTACTCCCCTTCATGAACTTCGCTACGGAGCAGGCCACGTTTTCCAACTACGACCAGCCTGATAACGTTAAATAGTAGGACTGTCTGTCGGATGTCAACGTTGTAGCAAGGACGTTCTATCATAGAACGTCCTTAGTTGTAGACACCGCATAATTGTCACGTGCTGTAACGCAATTAGTAGACAATCATAGATACGTATTAGAGAAGAGGGTATTCCATGCCCGTAGCCAGGATTTTGAATGGGGGGGTTCTTCCCACTGCTTGAGAGAAAAGCGCGAGGGGAGCGCCGAAGGCGCGAGGTTCCTAGGCCTAGGGGGGTCCTGGGGCATGCTCCCCCAGAAAATTTTGAAAAATGAACCTTCTGAAATGGCATTTCCTGCGTTTTTGAGATGATTTTAGAGAAAAAAAACAGAGATAACTTTTCATGCAATGACAAAGTAGGAAGTTTTTATACGATTCCAGACCCGCTGGTGATACGAATCAGTTCATCTAAAGAGAAATATTGGACCTTTAGATAAAAAGTGGACCAAAAAGTGGACCTTTGAGCCTTGTGTGTGTGTGTGTGGGGGGTTCTTCCGTACATGTATTCTTCTGGGAATGTTTTCTGCGTCCTTGGGAAAGGCACTTCATCGCACGACTTTCCTCACTCCACCTAGGTGAAACGATAAAAACGGGTACCTGATAAAGGGAGGAAAAGGGTGGTGAAAAGAGAGCTGGAGGGGTGGACGTCGGAAGAACTGTTGTCATGTGTAAACAATTAGAGGAAATCTAAGGAAGTCTTAGGAATTTGTCGGATCTTATATTTGAAATATAATTTCAAGTTTTTAATTCGTCACGACGAAAGTAAAGCGTGTACTAAAGTTGAAAAAAGATGATTGTTCATACTCTGTCCAACCTAGATTTTGCACCAAGCTTAATTCATTGTCATCTTGTTGTCTGGAATAAAATTAAAGATGATGAAGGATCGACTTTGCGGCAATACATATTAGACCTCTACCTTTTATTAGGCCACACCGACTTAATTTTATGGATGACATCCGCGCACGCATTGATTTTCGCTGCAGCCCTCAAAAAAAAAAAAAGAATCGCCTCCACCGAGGCTCTGGCCTGGCTTGCCATATACGTCGCTAAGTACTGTCGCGAATTCACAATACCAGCGTCGTATTCCTGGGGTTTAGTACCATTTTTATTTTTGGCCGGAATTTTTTATTCGCCCGCGCGCACTAGTTTGGGGAGTCTTCAGAGGATGTCATCTATAAAATTAAGACGGTGTGGCCTAAAGGAAACTCTGCATGTACCTTGTAATTGCTGGCTGCTACGGTTACCAGACTGTGGATGCAAGGCACGATAATTGTATCTTAATTGGAATCTTCAACTACATGATTGTATTATTATCGGCTTATTGTATATCCTTGACAACCGCGCCACCGGCAAACTGCGAACAACCATCTTGGTTGATTGAAAAAGCACATCACTGTAATTTTTATATCAAATGAATTGAAACCATTGTAGGGCAACATGTAATTAATCACAACCCTGACAACACAGGCTAAATACGTATGCGGCGATGTAAGATAAGCAATGACGCCACCTATTGACGTTCCCGAGCATTGCATCACTGCAGAATCTACAGTTGTGTGTTATGTGCAAAGGTTAATCCAAGGACATTATATATATAATGTCCTTGGTTAATCCTTTAGCCTGGGTGCCACCCACCCACGTAGTACCCAGCAACATAAGGCCATGTTGATTTGATTATATGGATGGCATCCGCGCGCGCATGAATTTTAGGCCGTTTCCAAAAAAAAGTTTCCAACCACACTGTAAATTGTACAAAACAGTTGCAAAATGAGCAAATATATACCGAAAGTTGCAAAAAAAAATATTTGAAAACGATTCCAACGTCGTAGAAACAATCAAACAAAAAACTAAAATGCAAAGAAATGAATTTAAAGAGTAGATTATTCGCCATACCATACTCTGTGTCATTTGTTCGACCTTCATAACAACGTAGATTTCATGAAAGCAACTTTTTTTTTGCAAAACTTTTTTTTTAATCGCGCGCTCGCATCAGTTTTGGGGTTCCCAGAGGATGTCATCCATATAATCAAATCAACATGGCCTTAGGGAGCGGACGGAAACTACGGAGGATGGCACTCAGGCTATTCTACCCAAACTTTCACACATACACAAATGAAAAGAAAACTACTCTCCACTTAACATCCGAAAACCCACAAATTACATAAAAAGTGGGATCCTTTGTCTTCCTCTGTCTTCAAAAAAGAAGTCAAACCCAGTAGTTTTTACTAGTAGTTTCTTAGTAGTTATCAGTAGTTCTATTTGTCTGTTTTTATACCATATGTTTCTTCTGTTCCTGCAATTAGCCCTCGGGCACGAATTTGCAATAAACAATTATTATTAATCCTTAGCATACTGATATCTACGAGCCAGAATATAATGCGACGTCGCTGACGGAAAACGACTACAAGTTTTGTATCGTAGGCTGGCTATAGGTATTTATGGGTGGTACCCCAAAATAAAGAGACGCATTCACGTAGGTTGTTTTGGGCCTATTTCAAACGCTTCAAGTATGAAATGATAACGAAAATGTGCTACGAGATGTCAGTAAATGTCAGAAAGATTTCTTCCTCAAGAATGCGTTTTGCATCCCTGAAATTGCATTGGATGCCTTTAAAATGTTAACTGATCATGCATTCACTAAGTAATGAATAATCCATTGGAAACAAGAGTTCCGAGATCTCATACCTGAAATATGGGCTTGACATGTAAATGTAAATTTCTTCTTTAATTATGTAAATTCTATTAACATAATAAATGCATCGTGATGTTAACTTTTGATTAACTTGCACATGTACCAAGTATGAAATTCCCATCATTTACCACTAAGGAGTCATAGGATTTTCGCATTAATTATGCAAATTAGGTCATCATTTGCATAATTGGTATCTGTTGATGTTCCATCTGCCATAGATTACATACATTACATGTATGAAAGTACTATAATGTAAAACACTGTAATTATAGAATTTCCTCATTAATTATGCAAATTAAGTCATCATTTGCATAATTTGTAGTTAATTATGTACATCTCTCTCTCAGCTACCTACCTACCAAAAATGATGATAATACCTTGTTCCTATCTGGACTTATTGGCTTTTAAAGATTTCGCCCGAAAATCTCCTGCAGTTGCAAAACAAGCTGCTAGGGGGACCAAACTCACGCCACTTATTCCTGACAGGAAAAGCTATCTGTCACCAAAAAGTCAAGACCATAGCATGTTTAGGACAAAAGATACAAAAGCCGGAAGTTCTGCTGCAGTACCAAGGTAATCCACCAGGAGGCCCATATTTGACCTTGACCTTTGTCTTCCTAAGACTTACCAGCGTACCAAATATCATCGCAATCCATAAAGGCGTTATGGAGTTATGCTGACTACAAATGTGCGGAAACACAAACACACAGACACACACACATACAGACACACACACACAGACAGACACGCCTCCATGAAATATATGAGTTTTTGTATACAGTACACTAAGTGTTTCAAACACACAGCTAATCAGGCCTGCAGCTAATACAAACCCTAACCCTGAAATAGGTCACATATTCCCCTGAGGGAACCCCATTAATCAAACCGGGTCCCAAGCGCACTGACTCGATAGCCACACAATGACACATCTGTTGGCTGCAAAGGAGATTCCTCATTAAACCGGAAGTGCTACTGCACTACCAAGGCCATCCACCAGGAGGCCCATATTTGACCTTGACCTTCGCCCCCCTAACACCTACCAGCATACCAAATATCACCACAATCCATGAAGGTGTTATGAACTTATGAAGGTACAAAAAAGCGGAAACACAAACACACACACACACACACACACACACACACACACACACACACACACACACACACGCACACAGACGCGCCAAAAACAATACCTTCCATTTCATGGAGGTAACAAGAATTCGGAGATCTCATATACAGTTTTTGTAACTGTTTTTACACAGTATACTACAGTACAGAACAAAATAACACAGGCTTTTGTTTTCAAACACACAGATAAAACAGTAGCACCTTTGGCCTGAAATAGGCCAGCCTATTCCGGAGGGAGAACCTCATTAATCAAACCGGCGCGCTGACCGCTGGTGTTTTGTTGCATAACCAGCAGATTTGTTTCCCCTGCCTTACGAACCGGAAGTTCTGCTGCAGTACCAAGGTCAGCCACCAGGAGCCCCATATTTGACCTTTGGCTTTCTAAGACCTACCAGCTGAGCATACCAAATATCATCACAATCCATAAAGGCGTTCTGAAGTTATGCTGACTACAAATGTGCGGAAACACACACACACACACACACACGCACACACAGACGCGCCAAAAACAATACCTCCATTTTTCATGGAGGTAATTAACACTCATGTCCCGACTTTAGAGCTTTAGATTTATGTAAACTTTGCAGAAGGGGGGCGCCGCCACAGGTATTCCATTGTGTTCAAGGCGCCGGTAAACATCCTTTGATCTTCTGAGATTTCGTAGCAAACACTTGCTTATTTTACAGCGCCACAATATATTAGTATTGTGTTTGCCCCTGCAAATCTTGTCAGTTTATAATCCACTTCAAATGTGTGATAGGAAACCCGTGACTCCTAGCCTGTTGTTTTCATTGAACATTTACATAGCCTCTATAGCTACCAGGCTTGGGGAGGCGGCTGGAAAGAGTGGAAATCGGCCAAATAGAGAGATAAGCATGCCAAGGGAGTTTGTCCGTCGAGAGAACAGTTCGCCGCACCCCAAGCCTGTGCGGAGTCGCTACGATCAAACGGTATAAAACTAACCCCCTCATTATTCCAACAAAAGAACTATCTCAGCGCAGAAGATCATTTAAGCAATAAACCAACCAGCGCGTCGAGGGGAGCCGAAATGTTCTCTCAACGGACAAACTCCCTTGGCATGCTTATCTCTCTATTTGGCCGATTTCTACTCTTTCCAGTCGCCTCCCCAAGCCTGGTAGAGGCTACATTTGCACACAATGACTGTTTGCTGAGGTCAGGTAGCTATAGTGTTTAAAAAACCCTCGGGCCGTAATTATGGTATTTTGTGTTTCAAATGAAATTTGTCTTCATTGCTTCGGTACTTTGTACTATATTGTGACATGTTTATGAATTTGGCCGAAAAAAAACTACAAGAGAAATGTTAAAAATGTGCCTACAGATAGAAAACATGTGATAAGGAACGCCCCCAGTTTGGCATACTCATATGTGCTCGTATCATTGCCTTGATCCGTGGGTCGCGAATTGGATCTTCTATGGCCAGGGATCTTCTCTGGTATACTATCCCTTTATTTCGGGCAATTTCTACTATTTTTCCAGCGATCCGCGGTGCCTGGTAGAGGCTACCTTTTTCTGTCAATCAAAAATTATTCCGCTCTATTTTTTCAGATAATCCGCCAGTTTGGCATATTTATGTATCATTGCCCTATTCATAATTTGTTGAATTATGACCTCTGGGCAAGTGGCCTCTGTCTGAGACAATTAACCAACGCCCCTTTTTCTGTCAATCAAAAATTATTCCGCTCTATTTTTTCAGATAATCCGCCAGTTTGGCAGATTTATATGTATCATTGCCCTACTCATAATCTGTTAATTATGACCTCTGGGCAAGTGGCCTCTATCTGAGACAACCAACGCCCCTTTTTCTGTCAATCAAAATTATTTCGCTCTATTTGTCAGATAATTTTCGCAATTATGGATTACCCACCTCATTTCAAAATTCACATATAAAAACATTGACTATAACTCTTGTACATAATGTCCCACATGTTATTACATGTTGTATTTTTAGCTTGAAATACACGATTTCTTTATTCTCGTGCATATATGTATCTGTATCTGTATAGCCGGTGTAACCGCCCTTCGGCGTAACACACCAGCTTCGCAGGCACGCAGCGCGGCGGCAGCTAGCTATATCACACCGAACGACTTGTTACACTCAATCTTTGCACATTTGATTGCAGGAGTTGTTTAAAGCTTTCTAGTGATGATGCCCAACTGTGCTTGGTGGCAACGAGTTCCAGTCTACGATAGTCCTGGGGAAATACGAGTTTTTGAATACCTCAATTCCTGGTTGATAACTCAAATATTTGAAAGCATGACTGTTTCTCGTTCTTTTCTGGGCTGGTATCAGATACTTAGTGGTTGGTACGTCCACCAGTAATGCCCTATTAGCATATGCTAATTACAAACGATTTATGCGTTTATAATCCGCGTGTTTGTTTCTGCACACAACCCTTCTAAAACCCCTGCTCGGGTTAACAGTGATAGCTTCACTGCACCATTGTCAATAAGTTGAAAACCTGGTGGCAACAAAACAACCTCCTCCATACACTCACAGTAAAGACCAGGAGAAGGACGAGAATGGCTTGCAAAGGCTTTCTACTGGTGACACTTGCCTGGGTAATTTTGGCCCTGTTCAAAGTAAGTCCAACACCCTACTAATAGCCTCCATAGCATGCCAAACACTGGGGGTTTTGGAGGTCTTCATGGTATTTGGGAGCTTTTATGTGCGATTTTCTGATTGCATATAGACAACATAGCCGGCCTGGTTGAAATACCCCCGTTTTTTAGAACTGGGCTTATCAGAAAACAGCCGAAGACTACCAAACCTCCAGTATAAGCCTGTTTCTAGACCTCACTAAGTGTAATTCAACACAATAAAGCTGAAAAAATTTTTATCGTATAAATCTAATCGTCTTGATCGTATTTTACCTTCTAAGGGGTGTTTGGAAACATTGTGAAAATTGTTGCCATCCTCGTCGAAAAAAATAGAATATAGATGGAAACATTGTAAAAATTGTTGCCATCCTCGTCGAAAAAAATAGAATATAGATGGAAACATTGTAAAAATTGTTGCCATCCTCGTCGAAAAAAATAGAATATAGATGGAAAAATAAAGTTATCGGCCAGTCTAGAGTTTTGAACGTTCTTGAAATTGTCCCTTCAAGTTTTAAATCCTGTACAGCTGCGTTTGGGGTGTTAGGATGGTGACAATTCTTAGGCCGGTACTGTTGGCTTTTGGCTGACTTATAATTAAATATATTTCATGATCACTTTAAGCATAATTCTCCAAAGCCTTTGGAACATAAATTGTCCTAATATTTCTTTCATCGATTGACTGATTGATACATTCAAACACTTTTATTCACACTATCGTTGAATGTATGTATTGGATTGACTTGAATTGAAGGTGACTGGTGCCACAAAAACAAGACGTCAGACCGACTGTGAAGGTGAGCAATGAGTTTTCCCTTATGAAACACCTGTGTCCATAATATCACCAGGGTCCATAATATCGCCACCTTGAGAAACAGTGTACTTAAAGATATTTTTACTGCAACATACCCTAGGTATGTACATTTGAGGTGTGCAGGAGTGCATACCAAAAGTATGTTGCAGTAAAAATTTCTTAAAGCACACAATTTCTCAAGGTGGCGATATTATGGACCCTGGTGATATTATGGACACGGATGTTACATGTAGTAGTAGAATGGTTTATCTTATTTAGAACCTCAAACATACACAATACGCTCTGACAACAGACTCGCAGGCAACCAAACTGGATGCCTGAATTACTCTGTGGTCAACACAAAATATCATTAAAATATGGTATCAAAAGGTATTATTGTTAAAAATATTATTGCACATTATTACACATTGCTAAAATTTATATTACTTATAATATTCCTCTGCTTTAGACATTACGCAGATCTGGAGTTATAAATGGTTTGAACGTCAATATGCATATTTCCAAACGTCACATTTGGCCACGGCAAGTAAATTTTATGTATGACATCCTCCGCAGACGACAAATCTAATGCGAGCGGGCGAAAAAAAACAAGACGGGCCGAAAAAAAGGTTCCTACATTTTAAATTTTTTAATTCAATCATTGTACAAATGGTTTTGATTCCGTGGGAACATCACATATACACAGCCAGCATCACATATCACTGCATCAAAGTAAGAAACAAAACATTGAACCAGAGCCTTTTTTGTCTCCTCTCGTCATAGTTATCTGCCATCCACCTTCCGGCATGGCAGACATCTTTGCCCATTTTCGGCAGGTTGACCACTGTCAGAAGGCAACAAAATTTCTGTTTTTTTTCTAAAATCAGGCGAAAATTAATGCGCGCGCTGATGTCATCCATAAAAATTACTTGCTGTGGCCTTAGGCAGGTTTTTCCTTATCCTCAACATATTAGGTACATCAGATGTTACAGCTGTCAACACTGCAACGACGCTAAATATCGGCTTTATTTAGGGCCCGGTAACGTATATGTCGTGCAATCGTAAAAAGATACCAGTACAAAAATGATAGCCCCATAAAAACGCATAAAACACACAAAAAATAAATCGAAGCCCAAAACTCTGCTTGGAGAGTAATTTTCTCTCTTTTTAAGTGTGCCAGACTAGCTTATTATTTAAGTATCCAATATTTCCCAAGTTTCTCACACCTCAACAACCACCAAAAGACTATATTACTGCTTACGTAAGTCTCCCAACCGACTAATTTTTCAAAGAGTCGGACAATTCATCTCCCACTGCCTCCTGAGAAGTCAAACCTCCTAACAACTTGGCTAGAATAGCATACTAGTTGAATAGCTCTATCTCCTATACTCTCCAAGCAGAGGTTTGGGTTTTGGGGTATTTTAGTGTGTTTTTAGGCTTTTGTTTTGGGGGGGGGGGCTTCTGTGGGGAAAAAAATTCAGTGCAAAAGAGAAACCCCCCCCAAAAAAGCCTAAAAACACACTAAAAATACCCCCAAAACCCAAACCTCTGCTTGGAGAGTATATCTCCTATTTATGTGAAGCATATCCACTTTCTACCATGTATACCAACGTTATGTTAGTTTCAAAGTAGATAATTATAGTAAGTTAAATAAGCAGACCGTATAAGTAGAACTCCATGTTAGCATAATTATAGTCTTAAATTCACCACATTCAGTATACATTGTTTTTGTAAATTTCTGCTTGCAATTAGCCCTCGGGCACGAACTTGCAATTAAGGACATACAGATTATTAAAAAATACTTACCACGAGGAAAAATATCTGAAAATTTCAAACATCCGACACAGAACAGCCATCACAAAACTCCGGATAAGTTCACACAAACTCCACATAGAAAAAGGCAGACACAACCACATTCCCCTGGAACAAAGGATTTGCCAATTTTACGATTTAGATAAGATTGAGGATGAGTATCATTTTGTAGTCGATTGTACGTTATATAGTAATGAGAGAGATTTCCTATATTCTTATATACTAGATAAGTTCCCCAGCTTTGGACATTTAAATGAAACAGAAAAATTCATATTTCTTATGAAACTTGACAAACCATGTATCATTAGTTCTATATGCTCGTACATCTATAACTGCGTTAAGAAGCGAGAAGAAGTCGAACAATGTAAATAGTAGATCACATTACTATGTATAGTTTAAGTATCACTGATGTATCCTTTTTCCCTGTCTATTCATGACCTGTACTTAGCTTGTTAGAGCACAAACGTACAATAAAGGTCTTTCATTCATTCATTCATTCAATAAACAACTTATAACTTATGCCGTGGTTTTCTTGACATGTAGGGGAGAGCGGGCGCTTTAAGACCAGGCGTACCTTTGTGTACAACTATGAAGCTGTGACGGAAACAACCCTGGCAGCAGGAGGTAGCCGCTTCTGGTCCAAGTTGTCTTGTAAACTACAGGTAAGATGTTGACATAAATATATAATTTTTCATAAATGTTCAATAATAATAATAATAATTGTTTATTGATTGATCGATGAGTACAATCTCTAGCATGTGGCAGCGCAACTAAGTAAGTAGCGCTGAATTGTATGCTAGTGTTTAAAAACAGGGAAACAAATATTGCACAGTTAACAAATAGACAACTAAATAAGTGAGTATTTCACAGTTAACATAGACAACTAAATAAGTGAGTAAAATTAGCTTAACAATATTTACAATATCAACCAATAAGTTATCAATAACATCAGTGTAAAAAATAATAATTTTATTGTGTGTTACATGATAACTGATCTTGATAGAGCTAGCTAGTCATGGGAGATTTACTATATGCCATATTTGTTTAAAAGACTCGTAAGGTACTGTAGGGGATCGGGCTATTTCTGTATCGATTTGTTCTGGGGAGCGGGACAACGAGCTGATTAGACTGTTTGCAGGTTCTAATGTGGGTCGTCTCACGGCATGGTGGTAGCCAGGATCTGAATGGGGACTTGAAAAGGGATCTGGCAAATTCAATGTTGAATTCGCAACCATGCACACACGTGTATAACGTGGATAGCATTGCGTGCAAGTTGTGTACATCAGGAAGATTGGACAAATTTTATAATGAAGTGTCGACGGCGATGTTTTGGTGTCATGGGCACATTAAATTTTAGAAAAAAGAACGCCGTACTGAAAAGTAAATTTGCATGCTAGCTCCCTTTAATTATTGATATGAATCTTTATTGCATGTTCTTGCCCAGATGGGCTAAATGCACAAGAGGACATGTAGTATGCAAAACATGAGTATTGCATACTGGAATGCTATATTCTAATGCAAAGTGCTAGTAATCTATACATTACACCAATACTATATACTACCTATCATCCATCTACTGTTAGTTGCCCTTTCTTCTCTCTTTTTGAAACATTTGGAAACATAATTACATAGTTTGTCTACTGTACATTCGTTCTTGCATGACACCAAGTGTTGTGTGAAACATGTCCTGCTTTGACATTTTCTTACATATCTTGTCTAAAAATATGTTTCTAAAATCATATCCAGTTACTTTTTGGCGTATCGTATTTCCTGGATGTCTAACCTTCCTCGACGTACATGTTACGTTATGTATATTATATTGAGTAACATACTACATAGGATAGAAAGAAAAAAGAAAGAACAACGTTAAAGTCTTAGAAATGCAAGAGAATACATTTGATCTTATCTAGGTCTTAAAGATTTCTTCTCTCTTATGATACACATGTAGATCAACTCCCCGGTAGGCTGCCTGCTGTCCATGTCCGTCAGTGAGTGTACTTTTTCCTCGGTGGAACGGGAGACAAAGCCCGCCCAGGCCGACTGGCAACCCCTTCCGCACTCCCGGGAACTCGCGCAGGAGCTGGAGAAGTCCCCCCTCTACTTCCGACAGGTAAAATTAGCCCAGAAGAGAACAATACATAGCCATAACTTCATGTAATAACTAGAGTCATCAACCAATGATTGTCTGTGTGGGGTCGTGTGGTGTAGCGGCAGAGTGCGCGACTCGGAACCTAGAGGTCCCGGGTTCGAGTCCTGACATGCCACCGATCCTGCCCTTGGGAAAGGCACTTTACACGACTTTCCTCACTTCGCTCAGGTGAACATGAGTATCGTCCTGTCATGTATTTGTCCCGTGTTGGTGGCGGCATTAATATAAGTTTAAAAAACTTGAGTGGGCCCTCACCACGTCTGGTAATTACATGTTGGAATAAAACAAAACAAAACAAAAACAAAACAAAAAAACAACGACAACAAACAACCAAGGATTGAGTTGCTCAAGAATTCATTCTTTCCTGGAACTATCGCAGAGTGGAACTCACTGTCACCAAGTACAGTAGGGGCATTACCATTAGATAGCTTTAAACAATGTCTAAAGTTAGATGTTCAAGGCCCAGGGTTAGGTGTAACAAGTCGATCGGTGTAATGAGCCAGTTGCCGCCGCTCCGCGTATACCTGCGAAGCTGGTGTGTTACGCCGAAAGGCGGTTATACCGGTTATACAAATACAGATCCAGAAAATCGCGATGGGAATAGTTACTTTTGGCGGGAGGGGGAGGTAGAAGTTGTGCATCAAGCAGTATAACGAACATAGGAAACAGGAGAGGGAATGAATATACAATAAGATATGAAACAAGGACCAGCAGTATGAAATAACAAGTTGGGTGTCTAAAGAACAAAGCATAATATAAACCTTGAACTCTCAGATTCATATGGCAAGTTTGTTTATTTAATCAATTATTTCATTGTTTAATTTTGATGTCTAATTCAAATATGTTTTGTCATGTATCATAGTTACCTTTGTTTGGGGTAGGCCCTTTAAAAAACCACTTAGGTTTCTGGCCTACCCCGCATATTCTCTTATTGTTATTGTTTGATTATGTAACTTTTTTATGGGTGCAAATAATAAATAAACAATAAACATTATGGCATTTTTCAACCCTCATTGTTGAAGTTAAAGAAAAAAACAGAGACTAAGCCATTTACGTTATATGAAATCATTTTTGTTCCTTCAATTCATCGAATATTCTTATTTTTTTGTCTTCTTTTGTTCTAAAGGAGAATGGTCTTATTACCAGACTGTACCCGCTGGCTGACGATGCTGCTTATCTAGTGAACATCAAGCGGGGGATGCTGTCCCCTTTACAGCTGCGAGTGAAGGAGGGATATGTACCAGACTCTGAGTCATACAGGTCAGATCAACATAACACACGCTTAGCACACAGAGGTGGCTTCGAATTGCCCAAGCCGAAAACCGCCTCAGCCAAAAGAACATTCCTGTATCGATGCATCAAAACTTACAACTTATTTCCTGAACACATCAGATTGTCTGCACCTACAACTTTTAAGAAACATATCAGGGATTGGCTGAAAACTAAAGTGGACACTTCCCAACCTCTGCAATCATGGTGGTAGTGCGACGACTGATGTATAGAATTACTTGCTCTTAACTGTATTGAGACCTCTGACCTCTCAGCAGTTTTATACCCTATGTTGTATTCCCATTTCCCATGTCGTATTTCATTGCTATGTTGCATTTTATTTGCCATGTTGTATTTAAGTTACGTTCGCTTCTTGTATATGTATGTATGTATAGTATATTGCAGTGTTTGTATTCAAACGACTCCAGGAAGACTAGTGTTGTATTATTGTTGTACGCACTAATGGAGATCGATCAAACAAACAATAAACAAATAAACAAACAAACAGGTAACCAAAGAACCCTTTTAGATCCTCTTACTCCGAGGCATGCAGTTAGGCCACACCGTCTTAACTTTATGGATGACATCCTCTGAAGACCACCAAACTAGTGTGCGCGGGCGAAAAAAAAATTCCGGCCCAAAGTAAAAATGCTACTAAACCAAAGGAATACAAAGCTGGTTTAGTATTGTGAATTTACTGCAGTACATAGCGACTTATACGACAAGCCGGCACATGCTGGCTTTTTGCGGAAATTAATGAATCGGCACTGTACGTATGTACTGAGTTCTTGAGTCGTGTCATATGTCATCCATGAAATGAAGTCGTTGTGGACTTACTAATAGCTTCCCAAGTTGCTGGAAAGTATACCAACGTACTGGGTGGCCGGCAAATTGTACCCTATAGTCGGCAAACTCCACCGGTATACTGTTAAGTCTTATGGGCCAATTTCTATTAATTTTGGAGGATCGTGGGCAGCCTAATAAACTTAAAACAAACGAAGCAGTCCCTTTTACCCATCGGCTGTCGACTCTGGAATCTTAACTAAGGAAAATTTTATGACCATTTTTGGACGTTTTTAAACATAAAAATGAAATTCCATTATCGACAGTGTGTGTGCACATTTTGCTTTACAGAACGGTATTTTTCAAGAACTGAAAAATGTCAAAGTATGAATGTGTTCATTAAAGACATCCAGTGCAGTTTTTAGGGCTTAGAAACCCGATTTTTTAAAGTCAATATTATAAGCATTTATCTACATACGTTTATTGAAACCACACTATCCCAATGTATATTGACCCTCTTGGAGCAAAAATTCCAGAATTCTGACGGAAAATGGTTACTGGAAGGGCCCTGGGCTGATTTTTAGGGTACCTGCCAGAAAATAAAGGACTAATCTTGGGGTTCGTTTCTGCAGTTTTAAATACCATATATATAAGTATGAAATGCTGATTTAAATGTACTAATGTGAAGAAGTATGTGTCAATATCACAAAGATAGCCTTATTCAGAATATTTCCAGTTTTGCTGAAATTGCATTGGATGCCATTAAAGTCTTATTTCTCATTGAATAGCTACCTTGGTGCACACGGCCAGTGTAACGCTGACTACAGAGTAACAGAGCGCAACTCTGATGACGTCCCGACCAAGATGGCGATCAGCAAGAACCTGGCTGATTGTGTGCAGCCCACATCGGACGAAGAAAACGTAAGACGCGCTAAAATAACTAGTTACTTCCATGAAAAATGGAGGTATTGTTTTTGGCGCGTCTGTGTGTGTGTGTGTATGACTGTATGTATGTGTGTGTGTGTGTGTTTCTGCACATTTGTAGTCAGCATAACTTCAGAACGCCTTTATGGATTGTGATGATATTTGGTATGCTAGTAGGTCTTAGAAAGCCGAAGGTCAATGTCAAATATGGGCCTCCTGGTGGCTGACCTTGGTACTGCAGCAGAACTTTTGTATTTTGAGGGAAAACAGATGTGCCGGTTATGCAACAAAACACCAGCTGTCTAACGCAAAACACGTGTGGACGCTGCGCGCCTACCCGGTTTTATTAACGAGGTTCTCCCTCTGGAATTGGCTACATGTACATATACTGAGTCGACCCATATCTATTACAGCCTGACCTATTTCAGGCCAAACGTGCTACTGTATTAGCTTTTTGTTAAAAACAAAAACCTGTGTTATTTTGTTCTGTACTGTAGTGTAGTGTACTGTGTGAAAACATTTACAAAAACTAATATATTTCATGGAGGTTTGAGATCTCCGAATTCTAATTATTTCACTCCATACTTCAGTATGGAGTGAAATACTGTTTTTACTGATGATTCTTCTCCTCCTCCTTCTCCTCCTCCTCCTCCTCCTGCCACTTCTTTAAATTGATTCAACTCCTTCATTTTTGGGAGAAATTACCTGGAATTTCGTATAGAGGTAGAGTGGGTAAATACCCCTAGGGTTTTTTTAAATTTTTTTGATACAAGCTTTTACAATCGTTTTATTTGCTTTTTTAACGGTCCCCATAGGAAAGTACTGTGGGGGCGTACGCGCGTGACGTAATAAGAAAGGAATTCGGCGGCATGCCCATATATGGGCATGCAAGCATGAACCTGACGCAGACCAATCTATTCTTCTTGCTGATTGGCTGTTGGATTTGATTGGATTAACTCAATTAACACCTGTTCAAAGCCATTCCATTTTGACAATATGAACTCAAGTGTTTTGGTAGGTACAGCACAGGCCACGAAATACGCATCAATATTCGAGGGACGTTCTGCGGGAGAGTGCAGGACGCTGTGCGGGACTTCCCTCGGGAGAGTGCGGGACGTCCTCCGGGAGAGTGCGATACGTTCTGCGGGAGAGTGCGGTACGTCCAGCGGGAGAGTGCGGTACGTTCTGCGGGAGCCAGACATTTTGCTCTTCTCTGTTGGAACAACGCAAGTTGGAGGTCAATGACCTGTGCCCGGCGTGTAAACAAAAAGTTACGCGGTACGTAATGTGTATCGTCGGCGCGCGCGCCACGGTATCAACAATTTTCCGCAATCTTTACCAACTAGTATTATCTAGGTTCTGTTATCGATCTCCGAAGAATCACCAAAATTGTAGAGTGGACAGGCGTTCGTTTGTTGTTGTTGAGAACATCGCGAGACGGTTTCCTGGCGAGCGTCGAGGGCTTGCATGCCCAACTGTTTTCGAAGATTGGACAGGGAGCGGCTGTAATCAAAGGAGCCGGCGGCTTCTGCTAGCCGGGTTGATAGTTAAGTAATATCAAGGTGGTTCAAAAGCAAACCTGATAAAGAAGGAAATCCCGTAGTTAATATTTGAAAGTCTTGGTGCCTTGAAGCGATCGATATTGCCATGCTGTTTACTTTATATGACATACAATGCAGTGAGTGATGTGTATCGCACCGAGTTAGCTCGGTTGGTAACGCGCAAGGCGGCAATCCCAGAAATTGTGAGTTCGAACCCCAGTGCATCGGATATTAACATTTTTAACAATTTTATCATTTTTAACAATTTTATCAGTTTTAACAATTTTATCAGTTTTAACAATTTTAACAATTCTGCATTTTAACAATTTCAACATTTTTATTTTCTTTTCGTTGTTTTGCTTTTAACATTCAAAAACTGATTGTTCTTACTCAAGAATGTCAATAACTTAGAATGTCAGTCTTTTGTATTTTTCCAACATACAAACTAAAATCACTTTGATGTTGTCACAAAAGTATGGAGCTGACAAGAGAGAAGGAGTACGGCACTGTGCCAGTGTGAAGAATCTACAGAGGTATTACCAGTCACTAGTAGCAAGAGATAGACCACATTGAATGATGACGATGAGGACGAATCATATGAAGTACTATCACAGCTAGTACAGAAATTCTACTGCTTTACTTTACTTTACTTTCTTTCACTCTGTACATGCAATTAGCTCACTGGCATGATTTTAAAAATAAAGGTTATGATAATCATATTATATGTATAGCTTATTCAATGTATGGCTTCATAGTTTATGTGATTGTTAATAATTAAGGCCATGTTGATTTGATTGTATGGATGGCATCTGTGCGCGCATCGGTTTTCGTTAATTTAAAGCTAAGTTTACGACAATGATACAAAACATCTGGAAACTAAGCAAACATACTCTGTAAATTTATTACTGTAATTCCCAATTTTTTTTCACTGTACCGCAACGTAACGCAAGCGGGAGGTCTATGTTCACGGTTTCACTGTCACCTCTGTACCGTGAACTTATCATTACAGTTAGGAAATAATTCCTGGACTTTCTTTTTCCTGCAACTGTCACCACCGTGAATATATAGTTCCGCGAACATGCCCATGTTTCTCAGACCGTGAAAATTTTGCTACCGTTAGTAGTAGTTGCAATTTCGTCATTAGTAGTATTTAGATACCTGCAATATATAACTTGAGATTGAGATAAGTGTAAAGTAAAGCTGTCGAGATTTAAAGTGCTTGTCGTTGTATCTTTGTAAAAAAATAAGGGAGATAATGGCCAAGTGCCATTTTTGTAAATATCTGTCGAGATTCAAAAAGCTTGTCCTTGTATAATTGCAGTATGATTTATTCAGAATCTTCTATTTTTGTATGGGGAGGGAGATGGAGTGAAATATTACATTTGCTCCGAAGCAAATGTTGGCCTTTCTAGTTAGAGTTGTTTTACTTCATCTACTTCAATTTACGGAGTCAAGTGTTCGTGACTAGTTGCATCAGGTTGGTAAGACACTGAGTAAAGAGACTCTTTTTACACAACCAAGTCTTTTTATTCAGACGACGTTTCGGTGACTATCTGTCACATTCTGACTGGTTCACATTGCATTGCAGCACAGGTGTCGCTGTTACAGATGCATTCCCAAATGCATCATATGCGTGATTGGCTTTCAGGGAAATGTATCTACAATGCGCTCCCAAACGTGCGGAAGTTGGACATATATACATAATGGTGGTCAGTTTTATTTTCTTTCTTTTCTTTTTTATTCCAACATGTAATCACCAGACGTGGTGACGGCACACTCAAGTTTTATCAACTTATATTAATGCCGCCACCAACACAGGGGATAAATGCATGACAGGACAATACTCATTTGCACCTGAGCGAAGTGAGAAAAGTCATGTAAAGTGCCTTTCCCAAGGGCACAAGATCGGTGGCATGTCAGGACTCGAACCCGGGACCTCTAGGTTCAAAGTCGCCCACTCTGCTGCTACGCCACAGTTATTTAACAGTTACAGAAAGTAATGCAATGTGGACCAGTCAGAAATGCCCCGAGGAAGGTGACAGACGGTCACCAAAACGTCGGCTGAATACTGAAGACTTGGTTGTGTAAAAAGAGTCTCTTTACTCTCGATTTGTACAGAATATTCCTAGCGGAGCGACACAGGAGTGCGAGTACACGCTCAAATCCTCTGGCTCGGGCATGATTGATCACGTGACGTGTCGGGAGACGTTCCCAGCTCGTTCCCAGGATGGTGACTCTGCCAGGTCTTCAGTCATCGTCCAGAAACACAGACTCCTGCACGTCAAGTCTCTACCCAGCTCAGTCACCATAAACCTCGGTGGGTGCATATGCAGGTTCCCTGATAGATATCCTATTTGGATCACCTCTAGGGCAAATGAAGTCGACAGCGTTGATACTAGTAGCTATCAGTGTTGCCAAAGTAGAATAATACCAGCCCAGAAGAGAACAAGAAATAGCCATGCCTTCTAGTACCAGAGTATCAACCAATGATTGCGGTGTTGATGAAGTTATTCTTTCCTAGAACTATCGCAGAGTGGAACTCACTGTCACCAAGTACAGTAGGCGCATTGTCATTAGATAGCTTTAAACAATGCCTAGACTTAGAGTTGAATAAAATCTGAGATTTTATACCTCCGGGCTTTTTATTGTATATTTTTCCATGTTGTTTGTTCTGTATAGTTGATGGTGTTGAATTTTATGTGTTAGATTTAGCGTTCCTGGTTGTGTTAATACAGGACTGGTCAACATTTTCATCTGCAGCCCATACCATGTACCCACGGTAAAAATGCATGTCGAGAACGTCTGAGACAGTATACCACGGTATTTGTAAGTTAAGAAGTCGTAATATACGCCGAAAACATCCAAGATTGCGCAAGGCGGCGTTGACCCCTGACCCATTGGCCCACCCGGAAGTTGCGCTGGCAGCCAGCCCAGCGCCGCGCGCGACCATTTTCAGATTTTTACGCCCCAAAACACATATACAATAAAACAAAAAAACCTGACACCATCTACAGCCC